TATATATATAAACCCATAATCAATAAAATTAGAGCCTACATACATCCCACGTCCTATCCGAGTCATTCTTGGGATCGACCACTTCTGTTTCTATCAGATCCCACACTAACATATCATCGTCCACGTGTTTGGTGCTCTTCTCCGGCATGTCGCGATACTTGGCGTGCTGTAGCAGTGATTTGGGAACGGGTGACACCCAACGCCTCCGCCTGATAAAGTTGGGTACATAGCTATGGTTAGAAGATGATATGTTAAGTGTATCGACACATATACATACAAGTATACTAAGAATACGAATGAATACATATACATACAAGTATACTAAGAATACGAATGAATACATATACATACAAGTATACTAAGAATACGAATGAATACATATACATACAAGTATACTAAGAATACGAATGAATTCATATACATACAAGTATACTAAGAATACGAATGAATACATATACATACAAGTATACTAAGAATACGAATGAATTCATATACATACAAGTATACTAAGAATACGAATGAATGCACAAAGCCAGCCTATACATCACCTCGGGTGTATAGAGAGTCAGGTGCCGCAAACGCAAGTCTCATGGGCGAAGAGTAGTGTGTGTAGACCGTTGAACGCAAAGGTAACCTGCAAATAATCTTATATATGATATATCCTATATACATAATACACACATATGTCTTGGTAAGGCGCTTACATGTACAACTATTACTAGTTACCCTTGTCGATTGAACATACCATACAAAGACCATATATGTTTCTCCTTCTCACTTTACAGCAAACTCCTTAATTCCCAAACAAATACAGCCGCCTGGTACAACCCCTGGTCAGAACGCTATAGCTTACATACACGACTCTATTACTAGTTCCCCTTGTCGAGATAACATACCGTACAAAGACCATATCTGTACTCTCCTTCCCCACCCCGTCTTTGCTCGTATCGCGCAGATCATCAAACCCATTGGCGTAAGTCCAGCCCTCAATGTCGCACTTCTCAGGGTAACCACTTCGATCGAGTTGCCACATCTTGCCCTGAGAACACGAAGAACGCGCGAGCAATTGCGAGTTACAACACTAGCAGTGCATCACGACTAGTTGGTATACGTCGGAATTGGGTACGCATGTAACCACACTTGTATGTCGGTTTGGGATACTACAAAGAAATTCATGAACACATACCAAGTATACACCTATATACATACGTGATAGAGAGAGAGAGAGAGGAGTATATTTGTGTATGTGTTTCGATATCAAACTATTCTTCACAACCAACCAGATCAACACCCATACTCTCGTCGTCCCCTATATATATATATATATATATATATATGTGTGTGTGTGTGTGTGTGTGTGTGTGTGTGTGTGTG